CTTCATCGTCTCTGTCATCATTAAACGTGTTTCTTTCACAAATATCTCACGGAGAAGAGAGCCTCCTTCCAAACATATCTCCTTTCAAAGTGACACACAAGCCACAATGATGAGAGGAGAGAATATCAAGTAGATTACAACAATTATGTGAGACAATTATGATGGTATCTTCAATGGAGAATGGCATTATAAAAGTTTGAAGAGGAGTCTTAAATAAACATTTCTTAGGCTATTACTTTATTTTGCGCCATACAAAGGAGAGATACAATTATCTATAAATGCGATGAAAACATTGATGGTATCAATGAACCCCCACAATTAGAATGTTCAATTCATTTTCTTTCTTTGCACAAAATTTGCACTGAAATTAGAGACAATTTCTTCGTGGTGTATTTGTATTTTCTCTTTAAATCACCACATCTTGCAAGAATTATACCTGCTATAATACTACGGAATTAAAAGGTGCAATTGCATTATTACCACCAAGTGAGACTGTGGTATTAAGTGGCGATGGTCAAAGTTGGATAACTAAATAAAAATATAATTGCCTTCGTATCTCCGAGTGTGGATTTTAATTGAGGAAATTCCCGCCAGAACTGGCCATTGTTTATTGGAAGAACATAAGATGACCAAATGTGACGGAAAAATTCATACTTTTCACTCACTCATCTCGCTCTGCGTCGCTGAAATCCGTCTCAAGTCTTAATACCAACAGGTTTATCATAATTATTTCAACTCAGCTATTATTAAACCGACTCCAAGGGATGTCATTTACCCACAATTCCAGAAACGTAACAGTTCCAGGTATTGAGCTATCAACACGGCAGTCACTTAAGAATTTGATATTTGACTTATACAATAGTAGGTATAGTGAGAAGAATAAAGAATTCTGTCCACTGCCCTCATCATTTCTCGTGAAACGTCGTCACACTGCAGCACAATTCAACACCGCAATGAACTTCATGCGCCGCATAATGGTTTTAATTGTAGTGGGAAAGGGAGATGCAAAGTGATTTACATATTAATTGTTCATTTTATGTATAAAGAAAAGTTCACCGAGACAAGGTTTGCAATGACGAATTCATCTATATGCGGCCAGTGTTGATTAATTTTTTTGCATGAATATTTCACGGGAAAATTTTCTCTCAATTATCATACAATTTCCCATTAAAGAACTTAGCATAAGTACGGAGGAAATTGCTTCATCAGACGGAATTGTGGCTAAATCCTGGGTGGAAATCGATGGTGCATATAAATAGTTCCGGCATGTGTGAGAAACATTATGTTATACTTTATGTATTCTTCTCTCTCTCACTATTAAAGACCTCTCAATAGAGCATTTTCATACCTCACAAAAGACACGAAAAGGACTCTGAAACTCAGCAAATGCTTAATTGATGAATATCTTCTTTGTCATATTTCTATGCAACGCTTCAGAAAGGCATGTGAAGAGGATCTAAATTATAAGGTTTATGAACAAGAAGTCGCATTCAGGCGATTTTGAAATATATCGTTTTCCAAGGTAGAAATAGCACAATAAAGGATTTCAAGAAATGAATATTATAAGCAAGTTTAACTAACTTTTCAACTCCTGCACGACACAACACAAAGTCAATGAGAAGGCAAAGGGTTGTGAATGGAGGTATGATATCAGATTTCCCTAAAGTGTCGTCAAAAGGACTTCATCCGGACTTTTCCAACACACTTCCGCAAGCAAAAAGTCAGCGGTTGCCTCACAGACAAAGCCTGGGTGCCTCAAAACGTGCTGGTGAAAAATGCTAAGGTTTCATGACACTTTTGTCACTCGGGATAATCATTAAGCTGAATTGAAATTTATGAAAACCACTGCAGAGAGTCACACCTCTTTTTCCTTTGTCACGACATCGAAGATGACAGTGAGACAGCCATACAAGAGGTCTGAGAGAAAAGAAGTTCCTGCCTCACTTCTCTGCCATGCTAAATGAGCAAACAATTTCTGGATTTTATTTATGATCGTCTCGCCATCAGCATATAATTCTGATATTCTTGCTCACCACTGCACACATCTTTTGCCACCATTCGCCGTGAACAAGATGGGTTAGGTTAGTGACATCAGTGACATGTTGCTGCTGCTGAATTTGTACAAGTCCTCGTGTGTTTACTAAAGTGTGCTCTGAATTTATATAAAGGAAAATCTATGTCAAATCTTGCACACAAATTCGAAAAATTCTTGTGAAAATATGAGTCAAATTAAAATTAATATGCTTATAAATTTGTCACGTCACGTGAGCAGAATTTTAATACTCAATTTATTTGCATCCACTTTAATTGATGTTTATTGGAGAACGATTTTTTGCTATCTTACGCGAAATTGCTACAATTACTTCGAGAAAACTTCTCATGCTTCTGCCTGAAGAAGCCTGAAGATTCTTTGTATAAATTTGTGAACAAAGTGTTCCAACAAGGTGCATTTATTAATCCATTTCAACCGAATTATACCGTGAAAATGTTCTTAGTTCTGGAAATTCCCGGCGAAATGTGCTGAAATTGCTTTCAGGAGGGAAACTTGGGTAGAACTATCACCTTACGAAAATCATTCGTTCCCCACCATTTTCCGCGTGAACTTTTCTCCACCCTATTCGTGGCGTATCGTTCAGGGTGGAAGCCACCCCATGGAAATGCAAATGCTCTCTTGGCTTTTCATTTGGCTCATTTGCATCACAACGCAACACCCCAAGTGCACATTTCGGCGCATAAAACTTGGTCGTCTGAGAGTGGTAAAAATCCCATTCGCCCTCTTCTCCTGGCTACAAGTGAGAGACTCTTCCGCTCCTGTCTAATTTGCATTCACACCGCGGCAAAGGGGTGTCTCTCATTCCTCCTCTGATACATAGCAACCTCCGGTATATAGGTAACACATTGACGCCATTTCACCATGGTGGGATAATTTATAATTCTATTTCTGGTGAAATTTACACTTATTAGATCTACGCCATCTTCAAGAGTCAGTCATCACACCTAAAATATGAGGCTATATCGGGGTCTTTCCCCTGTTTTGTGTTACTTCATTTGGTTGAGCAATCATTTAATTATTTGCCTGATTTTTCCTTCACTCCAATTGGCGTTCAAAATTGATTTCAGGCTGAAAATTTGCGAGAGTGTTTCTGGGAGAGAAGAAAAAGGGCTCGAAATGCAATAAATCTTGAGTAAAAACGACAGAAGAGCATTGAGTTTGTGACTGAAATATCGTCACGCTTTGAAATGAGAAACCATTTGTGTGTTTTCGAGGACCCAAAATATTTTTTCACACCACAGAAGAGCCCAAAATGCGCTGTGACGCTGTTTATGAGGTGAAACTCTCAATCGTACCTCAAATACGAGGGATGAAGTATGAGATTTCAAAGACATAATCAACCCCTCGCAATTATTTATTTTTATTCGGGAGCACTTATTTTCTCAGTTTATATTTTATCTCCTAAATGAATGTAGAAATGTTTAATTTTTCCATAAAATTCTTTCAGCGATTATTCCACCCCTAATTTACTCGATATCACATAGCGCATATGCACCTCTCAGGAGGGTTGACTTTCGGAGAATCACCGAGGAAATTGACAGAAATTTATATTTATAATTGAAACCTGTGTATTCCCACAGAATTATTTATTGGGTCATAATTGCCGTCGGCCACGTAGAAAAATGTGTATTGATTCTTCGCTTTTCATTCCAGATCGCTCTCTCTCTCCCTATGACATCAATTCCGGAAAAAAGACATGCCGCGCCTGAAATAATAAAATTCATTCAATCAGACTTTTTTCTCCAAACAGGACAGAATCCTGGTGCTCATGCAGTTCCCTCGCGATGGCCGTCGCCACTAATTGAAGAGCTTGCGCGACCCTTCACTGCTCTTTTTTTCCCGCTAAATTCATAATTGACTCACACGGAAATCACAACGAGCGAGGATAATACGGGAAAATTGGCAAAATCCAGCGAGGATGAACATCTCCCAGCGTGGGGAGTCGTTCGCGTATCCAATAAAAAATTTAATGTGGGTGAAAAAAGTTCCGACACGATATCAAAATGCTCTCAAAAGCGCCAACTCAATATACAAGCGAATGGATAATGAGATATGCTATTACGCGAGGCAGACTCACCACCCACCAGGCGTCTCCATCGCACACCCCAGCCGCCCAGGCCGCCCCATTGACAGAGAATGTGACAAAAAAGGGCCAAGCGAGGAAGCGGCTACAGTGAAACCCCGCCGAGAGGCACCCCTAAATGTGTGAAGTCAGTGCTCGAGAGCGGCGGAACGCGGTGAGATTGGGAGCACCCTGTGGCCGTGTACATAGCATTAATTCACCACATCGCGCCCTTCGTGGCGTAAAACTCTCTCTCGCCTTTCAGTCGGTGTCTCTTTCCCTCCCCCAAAACGCCGTGTAGATTGACTGAGCAATACAATTTACACACTGACGCGACGGCCCGAGTCTTCATGTACAAATCCACCCCTGAAAGTGCTATATACCACCCCCAGAGCCCTCGGCTCACCCGCAAGCAGCGGCGAGATTGTACATAGGTGGGGTGGGGGTAAGTGAAAAAGGTACATAAATACATGTCAGAGCGTTGAAAGCGTTAGAAAGCTAGCGCCATAAAATACAAAATACTCCCGGGAACCTATAAAAAGCGGTGCATATGCTGCCAATTAGGTGACCCCTCCACACACTACCTCCACTTCCAATGCTGGGCCCGAGATCCGACTTTCACACCCGCCCCGTGTTGTGTTGCCAGGCCAACAAACAGCCAGGTTCGTCTCACTCACGCCACCGTATGGGCATGACCCTGCCCCATGCGAGACCACGCTCTGTTGCATGCCTTTCCCCTACAATGCCTCCTCACTCTCTGGCATTCCCATTCGGCTGTCTGTTGAGCGCGATGGGAGGTGCTCTGGCGGCTTGAGGAGAACGTGACGCCTGAGCTGACTCGTGGCTCGCCGAGCCGGAATTCAACCGCAGTCAGTTTGGTATCGTATGCCTGAAGGCTCGCACGTCTCTTGGCCCGTGATCATCGTCACAGTGGAAGAACACAGTGTTTGTCCGTGCGCCCGAGAACCAAATGCATCCACCCTCGCTGACATTCTACCCCCGAATCACCCACCATCGCCCCTAGTGGGTCGCACTTGAGCTACAAAAACAATCTCTGTGTGTGTTGTGCGGTAACACCGACAGTGTTTTGACTAATGCTGCGCGAATTTTGAAATTGACCAAGTGCAAAATCCAACAAGTAAATCGCGTGAAGTACTTTTCCACCCGCTGCACATCGCAAACGCGATGGAAGTGAGAAACACTCACGTGTCTGTGAGAGATATTTAACCCGCGCAGAGGAGATCTTTGGCCTCGCATTGATGCATGTGTGAGATTGGCAGTGACACTGCAAGTGGTCTTGGATTGTCGAGTTCGGGATTACGGTCGTAAAAGTGAAGACTTATAGGAAATTGTTGCGGCTGCAGGGCGTGGAGGGCAGTGGAGGACGGTGCTCACCAGAGTGTTGTGAAGATATGCTCCTCGGCACCCAAAACCACTGCGGCGCCAATCTGGCTAACTCGAAGGGCGCCACGGATTTCTCAATTGCGGCAATCATGGCTCGGGGACCCTCAAGTCGTGAACCTTCGGAACGAAGTATTAGTAAGTTGGGCCCAATTGAAGTATGTAGAATTAGAGCGCCCTTAGCAGGTGCTGAGAGACAGCTTAACTTGCACTTTGGGGTTGGAATCGTTTCAAGGAAATCAGAGACTTGTTTACACAATCTTTCTTCACACCTAAACATCTCTTAGTAGCTCGGAAATTGTGGCAAATTTGTATTTTTCTTCATGTGAAAAGTTGTGAAGACTCAATTACATTCCAATAAAACTTTTTTTTCTATTAAAGATCCTACAGCAGTGCTAATTAAATGTTTTCAATAAAGTATTTCCTCGTATCGTTCTATCGTTTACAACTATCTAAGAGTGAGAGGTTATTAATCGATTCGATTCACACTTCTAGAGTCTTTAAGACTGAATAAATTACACTGCGGTTGTGCAATTCATAAAGTTGAGAATGCGAAAAATAAATAATCAGAGAGGGAATTGATGAAAGATTTTCCACGAATAAGAGGAAAAATAGTGGGGAGTGAATACTAATTGCGGAAAGAAAATATCAATAATGAATGCTTGCAATCACAAGATAAAACATGATATAGGTGTGTAATATTTGCGAGATCATTTGCTGGACTGTGGAGAGAAAAAAATTAATTTATTAAAAAAAAAAATATCCACGAATACTTATCCTCCTTTTTAGCAAACGCAGCAATAAATCAAGTATATAAACGCAATTACATCTGGCAGATAACTTTTAAATTAATTACTTATTACGATATTCTATCTATTCCGCCCCTTTTCTCTTTTGTATACGCGCAATGTCTTATAAAGAACATAATTTCGAATAGAAAGAAAATGCGTGGAAAATTTTCAAATGAAATTACAATTTTATTGCATTTAAGAGATATTTCATTTGATTAATTAACACCGACAAAGAATTTATAAACACTGCGGTTTATTGCATGTTTCAGCATTTTTCTTCTTTTTCATCTTCTTCAATTCAGCACAAAATGGTTAAGGAAACGCTAACCGCAAAATTATGTTGCTGTTTTTTTTTTGCTCTCTTCACGAGGGACAGAGAAGATCGTTTCTCAACCTATACAACATCTTAATTAAATTAAGAGTCTCTGATAGAATTCATATTACGCGGCAAATTTTTTTTGCACACAAACTCCTTTCATTAATTGTGAGCCAGGTGAGATGGGAGAATTTGTCGAAGTGCACGACATACAAATGAAAGGTGATAGAAATGGGAGAGAAATGCTGAGTTGTAAAAGAGTCGCGCTCTCAAATTGCATAGTGAATAGCCTCGAGAGTTGATGTGAATTAGCCAATATATCAAATTAATCTTCCTGCTTCAGGTCCAATTTCCGTTGATCGCTTTCCGGAAGGTGACGACGATGTGGACGTCGATGTGGAACAGTGTAGTGATTCAGAGGGCCCTCCGAGAACACCCCGAACGTCAAGTGCTGCACTGCCAACACCGCCAAGTCCCTCCGATGAGGACAGATTGTCCCCCGAGCCAGTTCAGGTGAGTCCCGCTCATCCCACATTCCTATCGTGTGCAGAATGAGATTCACGAAGTAACGTCTTCTTCTTCTCTCTTCCTCATTTTTCCAAAAAAAAAAACCAACCAACAACACACAGACACGACCTGGCTTATTGGGATCATGTAACTGTGATGAATTACGGCCCGTCCAATGTCATTTGGAAACAAAAGAGTTATGGGATAAATTTCACGAATTGGGAACAGAAATGATCATCACGAAAACTGGAAGGTATGTATGGTAGAAGTTTAGTAGATTCCCCGAGACGTGGGATCATCCATTTAACCCCCCAAAGACAGTGTGTGTGTGTGTGGCGTTATCTTGAATGGAGGAAACAAGAAGCCCATTTCCCAGACCATTTAACAACAATTAAGTTGGATAAACAATGCCTAATAGTTCAGATCAATCTTAAATATTTTTTATGGGTTCACTCAACTCCGTGTTGGCACTACATAAGGCCACAGAGATACATCCCAAAAAGCATAATCAAACATGCGGTAGCCTCGCAAGGTGTCTGATATAATGGAGATCTTCAGCATGTTAAGTGATCATTCAGCTACTGTGCTCCGAAAATGATAAAAATCTCCACAATGGTGATTAGGACTAATTTGAAGATTCCCATATTCATGCCATTATTCTCGGTCAGCAATAAATTTGGGCTGGCTACGCTCAAGTATTCCTGTGATTTATTCCCTAAACTCCTCGCCATGAGTTTGTCCAAGAGTGATGTATTGCTTTCGGATGGGAGTTTTTCTGGCCGTGGAAAATGCGTTAGAATTGAAGTGGACCTTCGGGAAACATCAAATAATCAAAAGAGCACCTCGCATTTGCCTTTGAAGGGAAGACAAATCCAGAGCGCACCGAGAGCGAGAGACATTAAACTGAGATTCTAGAGTATCTCATAATTGTGTCTTATATCCGGGAGGCTCATTGAGTGTCTCAATTTTTTCCCGCGGAGCCCTCTTGTGGGCCCATCTTCAGTTGCAGTGTCTGGTGTTTTATTAAAGACATGGGCGATGTTATGCCTAACTTATGGAAGTCATTAAAATTATTTTTGTAACATTATTATTAAAGTGAAACACAAAGTTGTGATGTCAAAATTGAATGGGTGAGCGGGAGAGTGAGTCTTGGGGAAATAAGATAAACCGTCGGCTGCGTTTTTTTTCCATCCCATATGACTCTCTCTCTCTCAACGTGTGTGCACTTCATATTAAATGCAAAAGAAGGAGTTAAGAAGTGAAATTGTTAAGGAGTGTGGCATCCACTTCTGGAACTATTAATTTCTTTCGCTCTCCGAACTTTTTGTCTGCCCCAAAGCGGGGTGGATAGTATGTTGTGCTGTCGGAAGAATCCGTATAGATAAAATGTTTAGCACTGTGCATACAATTTAATGGCTGGGGGTATATAAAAGTGGCAAAGTTGAAGTGGAGTGTGAGTGATAAATTGCTGCTAAAGTTACTCGCGCCACATGCTAATTAAGCCATTTCATCAGAATCAATTATTCATATTTTGAGGCTATCACACACAAGCCAGACGAATGCGCGTAAATATCGGGGAATTGCTGCTCCACCACTGATTTTCCCAATTTTCAAGTGGGAATCTCATCTTATATACCAATAAATTCTCGGCATTTTGAAAGCGAACACTCCTAATTTAATCTGCTGGGTGATTCCTTAAGAGATTTTACAGCTGTTGAATTTTTGCCTAAAATATTACTCAGCAAAAGCTTGCACACGAAACACAGCGTCTCATTATAATGCTCTTTCGGGGTGTCACAAATAAATTGTTATGTGGAAGTGCAGGAGAAATCCAATCGTCTGGTCGCCACCCTCCCCAAAAGGGCCACCCACTCAACGCCCCAAAGCTCCAATAGAGACAGAGCAATCATCCGTACACACACCATCTGTAAAATGTCCAAGTGTCAATGTTGCAGCGCCAAAGCTCACACCCATTCAATTGCTGAGCGTGTGGAAATTATTTTTCGACGTGATACAAATTAATGTTTGTGCCACTTTGAAATTTCATTCGATTTTCCTCTAGATTTCCCTGCACTCTGCATCACCCGCGCGCGCGCCATAATTGATTTCCATTTGTGCTACACAATCGCAAAATGCCATCATTTAGCCGGGCCGTCGGTGTGATTATTGCTGCCATATTCTACTTCACAATTTGCAATCAAAGTGTCATTCCTTCTCCCTTGGTGGATGAGGCGTTTGTATATAGAGAGGAGAAGCCATCTAGGGTGTGCGTGCACTGCGAATGAAACATGAAAATTCGTCTTCATTTAATTGAAAAAACAATTGGAACTAGTTTACATTCTCCCCTCGTGCATCAAATTCTGCGTGCAATTCCATGTCTCCATGTGTACAACACTCCCATGCCAAAATGCAATACAATCGCGGATTCCTAGTCCATTTATATACATAGAAACAAATGCAAAATAATACGCTAAACGGTCTGTCATTTTCCAATCAATTGTAGCGTTGCACGAATCCAATCGTTAAATTGCAAACTTTATTACTCGACCAATAGCATTTACGCATCGTCGGCGCTCAAGTGGAAAATGTGCGTCTGGACGCTATTTTTCTTTCCTCTGAAAACACCATATAAAATCTCTCATGATGATTTGGATTCAGACTCTGGATTTTTCTCACACAATATCAATTTCCATCCCAACCGAAAATGTTTCATTAAATGCATTGTTTTCGGTGGTAAAAAAAAAAATATCCGCGAAACCCTCTGAGATGCTGCGAAATGTGAAGAAGCCACAGATACTTTTCCGCCCTTCGCTGCGCGGTATTGTTTGTGAAAGAAGATGCACGAGGAGTGTAATTTGGTGACCCTCAGAGTGGAAAATCAAAGATCCCAAATGAGATGATTGTCATTCCGGTTCCATATGTCCGCATGTCACATATCATGAATAGGTGTGCAATTTAGCATTTATTTGTGGTCCATGGGAAGAGGAGAATCTTAAATTTCCAAAAGGCACAACAATAAAAATATTATGAGTGAACCGACGGCAGTTTCTTTGCCATCTAATATACACACACACACACACTGAATTGCCCCCCGTTATGACTTCGTCTCACACGAGAGAGAGCGTAAGAAAAATGTCCTAATACATAATTTTGCTTCTATTCCCTTTTCCAGGTAAGGAGAAAATTTCGGGTAATTCAACTTGCGTTCAATTGAGTGCTCCCGATCGCGCGAGGGTAAGAATGTGAATGATGAAAAAAAATTCCCTGATTTTTAATACGCCAATGATGGATAGAAGGTCGGACACGAGAGACATTTCTTGCATTCCTTCATATAAGCCGGTGTCAATTTCTGAGTGGAGAATTGCTCTTATGGAATTTCACTGATGACTATCTTATTTATATGTGTGGAATTTAATCAAGATTTTTGAACACAATATTTACCGTGAATTAATGATGCTACAATCCTCTCTTCTCTCATTCTTCCATGATATATTCCGTCTATATATTATCAATTCACATCCAGAAGGAATATATTTAACAGTGTGGAAATATATGTATTTTCCGAGCGCCTTCTTGCCATATTAACACTTTGCGACGGAAATAAGACACTGAGAGAAATTGCACATCAGATTGTAATTTTTCAGTAAATTCAGACTGAAGAAAAGTCATATCAATACTTTGTTGTCATGGGTATGAATTAAAAGTCAATTTCGTACATATCATTACCAATATATCCCCATCATTTGTGCCTTAGCGACTGCAAAATTGACGTATATTAACTTCGAAACGGAAAATTCAAGTGTGTGGCAAGAATTGACTACCTGGGATATTTCTTGTGTATATGCATTTTATAATGAAACAGTTTTCCCCATGGAAAGTGCAATAATCAAGAAGGTGTGTACGAAATGCACTCTTGAGGGTACCCATAACAGCCTTTTGCTCGCATAACCGCGGCCTTGTCGTTGCGCCGCCGAAGCTGGATGCGATGTAATTATGAAAATTACACGCTTCACTTTAATATTTCAGCTTAATATGTTCACTTGTGTACTCTTTTTCCATATTCCTCTTCTCTGGAGGCAATTCATAATTTAACATCATGTACATTATAGGCAAAAAAAGATATTTATTTATGCTAAACATTTTGCTATTTTGCTCATATTTATAAGAAATGTTGAATTTATATCCATTTTCACCTCCTTTCGTTATGACAATTTGCATCATCTCACGAGTCTCTGTGGCTTTTCCCATTAAATGTGTGTATAGTATGCAAAACAGGGTCATCCCATGTCCGACATCGAGGATTCGCTGTATTATTTATTCCTCTTACACACCAACCGCGATTTACGCGACCGGCCATAGTTATTGCATGTCGGATGCATTTTCACAAGTATGATTTTGCGAGGTAAATTGATTGTGCGAGGAGTGCACTTTTGCGGGACACATGCGGCAGGGGATGGAGAGAAATTAGGGTGGAAGTTGAAATATTGAGGTACATTAATGTCTTTTTAATTGCCAATTTTTAATATAAATGTGCGGCTTTCATCAATACCACAAAGGGGCCTAAATAGTGTCTACTTAAGCGCAGACGGTTTTCCTTCGCTTCACGTCTTAAGTGAGTGTGTTTGAAGCCATGTATTGAGCAATGTTTACGCGGAAGTGTTGTGCAAAAATTATAAAAATTTGCATCTCTTCGTCCAACTAAGGCCAAAGTCAGGCGGGCATTTTAGCGCGGATGAGCAGATCTGCACACGGCGCTTGTTGCTCAAGTCCGCATGGGTCCAATTGCGAGAGCCAGACCAGAGAGGGGAAACAATATATATAAAAAGCTACTTATTATTGCACCTATCTAACTGTGATGATGATGGCGTTTTTTGCGTTACTTCATTTCACTGAGTTGGAAACGTGGAAACATGCAAATCGATCATTATGAGCGGCAAATGATCGTCAGTCCTATTGAGCGCCTATTAAAAAGGCACATGGCGAGTGTCTTCCCTCGCGCTCTTATGCGATGGCACAGGCACAAATGACTCTGTCATATATATGTGATATTCAATAATGCAGAAAGTGCAGAGAGTGTAAATTTGACAGCTAATACACCTCATTGCCTCAACCTTTTTCACTCTCCACACCGCCATTTGCCGCCACTTTTACAGCACTGGCGGCTCAGCCAGCGGCCCTCAGAGACTCGCGAATTATAATTATAAAGCAATTAGTGAGGTGCATTTCGTGAAATTTACGAGGTGCATAGCGCAA